CAAACACATGTTTTATTTGTAGAGTGGGCTAGATCCACCTGCGTGTCCGCGTACTCGCACCCCGCTTCATCTGTCTCCAAAGCATTGTAACGCAATGTCACTGGCAATAGAATGGTACACCCTGTTCCTGTTACCTGTGTCGTGTAGCCACAGACACACACACATAGATCGTACGCTCGGACGCGGTTTGGTACGTGGTGCAGCAACAGATTAACGTCTCAGAGACGTCTCTGCAGCATTTCTCTGTCACAGCGCTGCGGACTATGTGTTTTACGCGTTGCTCGGTCACAATTTCATGTCACAATTGTTCCCTTGTGTGCAGTATGACTGGACCAACATAAACATTTGTAATGAGCACAGCACAACACTGACATGAGCAGCTGCAAGGTTTGCAGGTGTACCACGTCCACCCCAAATATACATCATTTTGGCCATCTGCTACTGTCAGCGACATGTCCAGCAATCAACATTAATTTGTATGCATATTCATCATCATTCATGGGCATTGGTCTTTCTCTATGAACCAATACACATGGGTTCAATATTTCCTGGGTCTTCGCTGTTGATTCTCCAATCTGTGTTGGTGATTTCAACGTGTCTGTGTGGTCCTCTGAGATGACTGCTGCACAGTCCATCTCACACAAGGCACACATCTTTACATGAAACACACACAAAGATTAAACACCAGGCAAATCACACATGCAATGAAATAAACAAAACATCACACAAGGGACTCTTAATAACCACAGTGCACAACAAAATGGAGATACAATTCCTCGCACACACAACCCTCATCATAACTTTCATTTGAACATTGTCTTCCCCCACATGTTTAGTCTTGACTGTGGGCGCCAGCAGAGTCAGACTGATCATATGGCACCAACATGTCACAGATGTACCCTGGTGCGAGGCCGTGTTGAATCAGGCCTCCAACTCCATGAATCCAATTAAGTCCAATAGCTGGGAGCTAAGGTGAGCCCATAGTCTCACGTTACTACTCAGGAATAATATACTAATAGACATGTATACTCAATGAGTGGATGTCATGTTCTGGGCTGTTATTGCCTGATCATTTTACCAGTTATGTGCACATTGACATGTTTGTACATTTAGGAATACACACAAAAGGTGAACAAGAATGTTTACAAAGTGTCCCTCTAGCTTGCAGTACTTGAAGTTGCTTGTGAAGAGACTAAATGGCCCAATTCGGCTCCACAACACATGGTGCTCATGCTTGCTGTGATCAGCTGTAGAACTGGAATACAGACAGAGGTGTGAACATTGTGAGATTCATGCTCCACTAACAACCCTCCATAACAGGTACCCCAAAGTCATACGTTTCTTACAGTGCCATCAGGGGCTTCAGGCTTGCGGTCTCCTCATCTTCGCTGTCCATACGGAAACACCCACCTTGTTGCCTATGTCCTTCCCCATCAAACCATTGGTGGAAGGGTGGTAGGGGGAACACATACTGAGCTTCACCCCTAGTTGTCTGCATACTGCTGTAATCAACGGAATTCACAAGCAATGACACAATCCTGAACACGAACAGCCTTATTCTTCCCTAGGCCTACCTTATTGATGAATTCAGTGCCACGTCTGTGAGGATCCTCTGTGGGGCGCCAAAGCGATAGAAATTTGGCACTCAGTGCACTGCTTCACCTTTTGTTAGTAATAATAGCAATATAAGAAATCCTCATCAAGATTTTACATTATTGAGATCAAAGCCACTGAGTGCATTATATAGACAGTCAATAGGCCCAAACATACCCATGACTGAATGTCCCTCTCCATTTTAGGCCAGTAATAACGTGCAATGATGGCCCAGTGGGTTTTCTCCCAGCCATATATATTCTATGGAGGCCTGATTCAACACGGCCCCGCACCAGGGTACATCTGTGACATGTTGGTGCCATATGATCAGTCTGACTCTGCTGGCGCCCACAGTCAAGACTAAACATGTGGGGGAAGACAATGTTCAAATGAAAGTTATGATGAGGGTTGTGTGTGCGAGGAATTGTATCTCCATTTTGTTGTGCACTGTGGTTATTAAGAGTCCCTTGTGTGATGTTTTGTTTATTTCATTGCATGTGTGATTTGCCTGGTGTTTAATCTTTGTGTGTGTTTCATGTAAAGATGTGTGCCTTGTGTGAGATGGACTGTGCAGCAGTCATCTCAGAGGACCACACAGACACGTTGAAATCACCAACACAGATTGGAGAATCAACAGCGAAGACCCAGGAAATATTGAACCCATGTGTATTGGTTCATAGAGAAAGACCAATGCCCATGAATGATGATGAATATGCATACAAATTAATGTTGATTGCTGGACATGTCGCTGACAGTAGCAGATGGCCAAAATGATGTATATTTGGGGTGGACGTGGTACACCTGCAAACCTTGCAGCTGCTCATGTCAGTGTTGTGCTGTGCTCATTACAAATGTTTATGTTGGTCCAGTCATACTGCACACAAGGGAACAATTGTGACATGAAATTGTGACCGAGCAACGCGTAAAACACATAGTCCGCAGCGCTGTGACAGAGAAATGCTGCAGAGACGTCTCTGAGACGTTAATCTGTCGCTGCACCACGTACCAAACCGCGTCCGAGCGTACGATCTATGTGTGTGTGTCTGTGGCTACACGACACAGGTAACAGGAACAGGGTGTACCATTCTATTGCCAGTGACATTGCGTTACAATGCTTTGGAGACAGATGAAGCGGGGTGCGAGTACGCGGACACGCAGGTGGATCTAGCCCACTCTACAAATAAAACATGTGTTTGGCCGTCTGCTGTCATCTTTCAGTGACACCCTCTTGCTGCTGTCATGCTTTACACACACACACATGTTCGTCCTGTCACAGTTGCATGCTCATTATTAGTCACATTATTGCTCACTCATACAACCCGAACGTCCTTTTCCTGGTCTGTGATAGCGATCACATACAGCATTAATTCCACATGTGATTTCTTTTTCTACATCAATATTTCTTATGACTGTAGTATATGAGAACAATGTGTGAGAGCAGGCGCTGGTCATGTGTTTGTAAATCGCTGTTGTGAGCGTGTTTATTGAATGGAAACACCACAGTCCCACCGCAGCTCCAGGTTAAACTGCGCACCTTGCAGCTGTTCAGGTCAGTGTCATGGGAAACAGTTCGCGATTCACAGACAGTATATGGAACAGCAACAACACATCTGATTTACGTTGATTATATGTGATAGCAATCCTTCGTCAGAAACACTACGAGAAAGAAGTCTTTATTTCGGACTTTAGAGGTCCCGCAGAGGCAGTGGGCTTTTATTGTGAAAAATGTCTAAGCCACGCCTACTTTCGAGCATTTTGATCGATGAGTAAGTAGAACTCGTTCACCGGCGCCATTTGTCTTGGCATGCTGTGGGCAAAACAATAGAAAAAGAAGCTGAAACGTGTTAATGTCGTGATAAAGTTGAAAATGGTCATCTCCTGCTGGGTCAATGGATGTTCAAATCGTGCCGGAGGTTCCGTTAAACTTGGATTTTACAGTATACCCATCATTAGACTTCATGAATGTGAGAAGACTAAGCTTTTGTCAGAACAACCACGGAGGTTATGGTTTGCGAAGATAAACAGGCAAGAAACTCCCTCAAAACACGCAAGAATATGCTCGGAGCACTTTGTGTCAGGTGCGTATCGTATCTTATAATGTGTTGACAGACGTAATTTACTCAGTACTAACTTGTGTATGCTGATATCTGGTAACTTGAGAGTTTCATTATTTAGATTACTTTATTATGAGGAGGATCGGTGTCGCGTCCGAGGCTCTCGAGGGCAACGTAAATGTATTAAATAGATAATAATAGTTCTATGGTGGGCTAAAACAATGTTCACAAACAGCATTGCTTCTGTAAAAAGATCTGTGTCATAAAATAAACTGCTCTTTACGCCTGGAAAAATCAGTTGCCCACCATTCACCAAAACATACGGTCAAAAACGCGGAAATAAACAATAACAGCAATCCAGAGTGTCCGTGTGGCATTAGCATTAATTAAATTAATTGTTAATATAATTAAAATAATTAAATGGAGCTCCAACTGGTATTAAATCTAAAGTTTTTGAGAAATGTTTGCATTGCTTGTTAATTTTTGCTGCATAATTTGATCAAATATGTAAAACATGTCCGTAGCACGTTAAACTGTGGTGCCATTGTATTAATATACAATTATTTGCTCAAAAGTTGCCCTTTTTTCCAATTTGCGTTTGAATATCTACATTTATTCTCATTCTTCTGTTTAATGGAATGCACAAACACAGCAGCGTGCCATCAAAGATGGCGTCTCCGAGGAGGTCATGTGACATTCATTGGTCTGTGGGAACTATGTATAGCGAGAACACAGTGATCTCAACATGACCGCCTATGCTGGACAAGCTATGGAGCAAGGAAAAAGATTAACCAATGAGCTTACAGCAGAGGCATCCCGGTCCACCCCATGATTTGCATATCATTAAGAGAAATACGGAAATAAATACAAAAATAAATACAGAAAAAACAAAATAATACAGAAAAAACAAAATAATACAGAAAAAATAAATAAATGCAAAAATAAATAAATAAATAGAGAAATAAATAAATAAAAAGAGAAATAAATAAATAAATACAGAAATAGAGAAATAAATGCAAAAATAAATGTATGAATAAATACAAAAATAAATAAATAAATATATGAATAAATAAATACAGAAATAAATAAATATATACATAAATATATAAATAAATAAATACAGAAATAAATGCACTTATTCTCATAATTGCATGCATTTCTTTGCAAATGTGATATCTTTTATATTTATTTATTTATTTCTGTATCTATTTATTGTTTTGGCAGCCACGGTCCTCCATAGAATTTATCAATAAACATTCTTTTAGCCTTATATTCAATCCCAGTTACAGTAAAACATATATTTTAACTAAAGACTAGATGTACATGACTAAAGTGTATTATTTTGTCCTAGAGGTTGTTTGTGGGGAGCCCCCTTTGCTGCCCCATACTGGTCGTGTATGGAACAGCAGCTCAACTCCAGGGAGCACTGTGGCTTACTTTTGCCGGCCTGGATTTCTCTACCTCATGGGCAGTAATGTGTCCATATGCACAATCAAAGGTTACTGGACCGTGGCAACCATATTGTGCAAAGGTAACTAATTATGGTAGCTTTTAATCAACATGGTTTCCAAACGTTATTGTTTCTTCTTAATGCTTTTTCTTCAGAGATTAGTTGTGGACGGCCTTCCCTTGTCCCAAACTCAAGAATGTTATGGAATGGACAGACCACTTTTGGATCGTCCATTTTTTATCAATGTAATTTTGGCTATCGTATTTTTGGGAATAAAAATGTGTCTTTGTGCTTGGAAAATGGACAATGGGAGAAACCAGCTGTTGTCTGCCAAGGTGATTGTAGATCCATACACACATACAGTCAGTGTGCAATAGTATTGTGCATAAAAACAACATTATGTCTTGCCCATTTCTTTCCTCTAGAAATACAATGTGGAAAGCCTTTGGACAAACCCTTTGCTGAAATGCTCTGGGACGGTGCAGCACGTGTTGGGAGTGTTGTTTACTATCAGTGCCGTGAGGGATATTTCAGCCGCAGTCTGCACAATACCTCAGTATGTGAACACAATGGACTTTGGAAGGACACTGCACTAACATGTGAAGGTTGGATTAACTACAGTACAGTACAGTAGTCAGTATTAAAAGAACAATTGTTTAAAGTCTGTCACTGTTTCCAAAAATATTGAGGTTTATGTGAAATTAGTTCACATAATCTTTCACATAATGTGGAGTTCTTAAACAAATGTGTTGGACAAACATAAAGGTTTAATCCTCTCAGGGAAATGGGATTGTATGATATATGATGATAGCAATATTAATATTAATAATACATCATTTTCTAAAGTCATTATTATGATTATTATGATTATTTACGCAAACGGCACATTTCAGTTGCTTTCACTTCAGTTACTTTGTTGTAGTCTTTTAGTAAAATATTTGCGTTCGCAACATGGCAAAGTGTGTAAGTTCTCGATGTATTAACACTCTCACAAGAACTGAAACAGATCTAAATATACATAGATTCTGAAAAATGAATAATTCATGGGTTAAATTATCATGGAATCAAAGTACTGATCTGAGTCTGTCTGCTTTAGAGAGAATCCATGACACCCATAGATGTGTGTGTAAAGTGCTGTGATGTGGAATGATCAAAAAATAAATGTTATAAAAGATGGATGTTTATCAAACATTAAATAAGTCAGATTTTCATGTCACGTCAACATTAAATGGACCTAATTAAAAGTAATTAATTAAACCACGCTCTTTTGAACAGCCTAGATATGCAAATGTCTTGTTAATGTTTTCATTTAGATGTCCCGCCCTTGACTGTGATCTGGGTTTCCAAATCTCACTGATAAAGTTTCATGTGGCCGCAGAAGTCAAAAATGTCTCGTTATGAGTCTCAAATCATTAGTGACAAAACAAGGAATAAAACAAGGATTTCTATCTAGGCCTTTGTGAAAAAGGTGTTGTCTATTCAACATTTATGATCCCAGCTGGATATGTCAGATTCAGATTCATTTTATTAGCCATGTGCAGTATAAAAACTACATTGGAATACATTTGCAAAGAAAGGTACTCTGTGTGCACCGACAGAATAAAGAACACGATACAATAAATATAAAATACACATACACTGAATATAAAAGAATAAAAAAAACAGCTGACACTGGCACCGATCAACAAAACAATACAAGGGGTAAAAGCAGGAATTAAAGTGCTCTGTTTAGGCACCTAACAGCCTGTGGAAAGAAGCTGTTAGCATAGCGGGATGTCTTGCATCTCAGCGACCGATATCTTCTGCCAGAGGGAAGAAGCTGGAACATGGCTTTCCCAGGGTGGCCAGAAGAGTCATTAACAATCCTGAGAGCTCTGTTTAAAAGTCTGGATTTATAAAGAACCTCCAGAACAGGAAGCTCACAGCCCACGGTCCTCTTTGCAGAGCGGAGCACCTTGTTTAAAGATCTCTTTTCTTTATCTGTGATGTTACCAAACCACACAGACACAGAACCAATAAGTAAACTCTCAGTGGTGCAGCGATAAAAGTTAAGCAGAATCTTAGAGTTAGTGGTAAATTCTCTAAGTTCTGCATATCTGGCAACCTGAGTCAGGGAGAATGGGTTGCAGTACCACTTTTGGCCAGATTTGTACATATCTCTCCTTTGATTTAAGCAACATTGTATGTTTATTGGTGTTTCCTTCAGAAGTTGCTTGTCTTTGCGTTGTCTTCAAACTCTTACTATTTGGAGTTTTGAATATAGATTTTTTATTCCGTAGACATAAGCTCCTCCTACTTTGCAGCTACACATAAAGTGTACTTTATGGCTGCGATTGCTTTGTGCGCATACTAACTACATTAACCATGTTGCTTTGAGCAGAGACACAGTGTGGTCCGCCTCTAAATGTTCCAAACACTCACCTGGGATGGGACGGCTCCTCTCGGCCCGGCAGTGTGGCGTGGTACACATGTGTGGCTGGATTTTTCCCCGACAGCCAATTGTCTGCATGTTCAGAAACAGGACGATGGGGACAGGTTTCACTAATGTGCCAAGGTAGAGCCCTCAGAAATGTTGTAATACTTTAATTATGCCTTTTTACAGCACAAACAAAGACTTTAATGATCACAAATAAAGAAAGAGAAATGATTCCTATGTCGTTGAATGAGGCTTATACCCAGGTCATAATCATAAAGGTCTTATTTGACCTTTTCCGAGATAACAAGTAACAGTAGTGTAAAAGAAACATGAGAGTGAAGCAGGCCACAACATGCTGTCTTATAAGAAGAAGAAAAAGGCAATATTTCTCTCACACACAGAGGGTGGTCCTCTCCTTTTCACTTTTCTTTCTGAAAGAGCTGATGAAAAGATGTGACAGAGGCCAAGAACACATGCATGTGAAAACTACTGATAGAATTTCATTTCATTTCTTTTGTAATTTTAAGTTAGGTAGCCCAGCTTTAAAGCAGGGGTTTGACTTTAAAAAACAGACTGCCTCCAACCTTGGAATGCAACAATACCTGTTGTACTGCTAACAGAAAAATCAATCCAAATACAGCAATGTAAGGGATGAGATATTGTAGGAATGATATAGTTGAGCTGAAATCATGTCTTTGAATTTGATTTTATAGTAATAAGTCATCTTTATTTATGTAGCCCCGTAATAAAGTACTTTTCACCTGTTGTGGACACCTGTCCTCTCACTTCACACAGAGATGGAACCGGGGCCATACAGTGGAGGGACAGGTTTTTAATTGGGAAGAATATGCAAACTCAACTCAGAAAGGCTTTCCTGAGTTTGATTTCAGAGGTGGGTGGAATGACCCTTTCAAGCTACAATATCAAAAGTTATTTCAGAAATTGTATGTGAAAAAATTAGTACAAGCGTTATTTGAGGTATGAGAGATAGAACACTAAAAACATTTGCAGAAATATGAGGTAGGGTCAAAAAAAGAGAAATATAGAGAATTGCATGTTGGAAGTACTGAACACTGTCCAGGATTCATGTCGTGAAGGTGGCTACACAATCAACCACTGGTGTCAGCAGGTACCAGCGATACCACTGGTGTCAGCAGGTACCAGCGATACCACTGGTGTCAGCAGGTACCAGCGATACCACTGGTGTCAGCAGGTACCAGCGATACCACTGGTGTCAGCAGGTACCAGCGATACCACTGGTATCAGCAGATAGGGCGGCACGGTGGCTGAGTGGATAGCACTCTCGCCTCCGCACTTCGAATCCCGGTCGGACCAGGGCCTTTCTGAATGGAGTTTGCATGTTCTCCCCGTGTCTGTGTAGGTTTCCTCCGGGTGTACCCCGGTTTCCCCTACCACTAAAAATATGTCCAATAGGTCTGGCATGCGCTTCCTGTACTGACCCCGCTCCCATCTCTGTGTGGAGTGAGAGACAAATGCCCAAACATTAACAATTTTAAACCGCTTTGAGACTCAAATCTGCAGTGAAAAGGCGGTATATAAATAAAGATTACTTACTTACTACTACCACTGATACCACTGGTATCAGCAGGTACCACTGATACCACTGGTATCATCAGGTATGAAAAAATGAAATAACAGCTTGATTAAGCTCTAAAATCCAAAGGTAAGCCAAGGCAAACTAAATGTAACAAAACAAAGAAAGTAAAATTGTACAAGATTTAAAAATCTTAAATAATCACAGCATATTAAAAAGAGTGAAGATGTAATCTTCAGTTGTGTGCTCAGCGAAAAATAATTGTTTTCAATCGGGATCTAAACATTTGTCAGAACAGAAACCTGTTTCACACTCTCAGGAAGACCAGAGTTTACCTGCGTTCCTTTGAAATGCTGCCTTACCAGGTGTAGTCCTGGCCCCGGGCCCCAGGCCCCGGCAGGAGGCCAGTCCCTGAGCTTCTCAGACTGTGTTGGTTCATCTGGCACTAACATGTTATGTAGAACACTTTTTTTCACATGCAAGATTTTGTCTGCTTTCACAGCTTTACATCAGCTCGTTTCTCACTCAGAAACATCAGGGAGGATTTCAGTTCTCACCTAAAGTGAGTCGTGATTTCACCTAAGGATGTTTGGGTGATTTGCATTAAATGAGGATTGACAGTTTTCTCATTCAGTTTTGTGTGACTAAGTACAAACCAACAGAACCAACTGATTAAACAGATGAACTTAAGTCACTTCAAAGCCAAACCCTAACTCTAAATGACATTCTTTTCCACACAGACATCAAATTGAATCTTCTGTACCTGTTAATATGCCAGAACGTGTGATGATGTATTTGCAGCTCAGTGTGGCCCGGTGCCACCTCTGGAGCGCTCGGAGGTGGTTTGGCACAACCGCAGCGTTGTGGTCCACAGATGTGAGAGTGGCTTTCACAGTTGGACTGGTTCCAACACTTCCATCTGTGACAGTAGCACTGGGCTGTGGAAGCAGGCGACCATTGCATGCATTGGTGAGTAAGCAACAGTAGTGGACCTTGTCTGAACTTGTTTCTTTTAAGAGAGAATAGATGTAGTTTTTACAGTCTTAAATAATAAATAATAATAATAATAAAATGTAGTGAATCAATCAGACCACAATATAACGTCTTCCTCTTATTAGAAAACAGCAAAGAGCCCTGTGAGTCTGAGAGCTGATAGAGTTCCTCTACTTCCATCAAGCAATACAATGTTCA